TCTGCTAGGCTGTCAGCCAGGAAGAGGAGGGAAGGCAGGGGCCACAGCTTGAAACAAGCTTGGCACCAAGCTTGGCACCGCTGGGCACTGATAAATCACCGTCAGATGGTGGCCGGCTTTGTATCCCCTCCATCATATAAAATAGGTATTGTTTTTGCACATTTCACAGATAAGAGGAAGCCAAGGCTCAGAGAGCTTGCGTAATTCACCTTTGGTTACACAGCTAGAGTGTGGAAGAGCCATGATTTCTGGATATCTGAGCAATAATTCACGTGTCTTTACTAAGCTAAATTAGAGGTAGTGATGGGGGCATTTTCACGTCCTCATGTCCCCTTCTGAAGCCGCTCAGATTTGCTCCTATGGTTTGAGGTTAATTGTCTGGTGGTTTTGCAATCTAAATTCTGATGTAGCTCCAGAGCTAACAACCAGGGAAGTATAAGTGACTCTCTGGTCCCCTCAGGCGTGCAAGGTCTGTCCTTGCAGCCTGACTCATGAGCCTACGGTAAGGAGCACACCATGGGTACAGGTTCTTAGTGTCTGTGAGGTAGGTGGGTGTGTCTCTCTTCTGAGAAACTTCACTGGTAAGAAAACAAACAGCCTGGAAATGCAGCTCCACCAAGGAAGTGAGGCTGACCCAAATCGTGCTCCTTGGGCACACTGGCTGTGATGCCAGAGAGGAGGGTAGAGTTAGGATTCTGCGTGGCAGAACTGTCCTTGTAGCCTCAGAAAATGACGACTGCAGACACTCTGGGGTGTGGCCCCGGCCCCTCCCTGGCTGCCAAGAGCAATAACCATCCATTATTCATAGACCACTGCCCTGCCCTGCCCTCCAGTGAGAGGCCCCGCCTGCCACACCACTGATTAACCCTGTGTTTGCTTTTTGCCCTTTTCCTCCCTGAATCTTTGCCCCACCTGGTTGCCATTTCTCCTTTCCCTGCCTCCCAAAGGGCTGTGAATGTGTGTGTATTTGGAGGGATTCTTTGCCAGGTTGGCAGACAAGGGAGTCTCTTAAAGGCTTAAAAATTCTGCACCTTTTCCAAGGCCGGGGCTCCAGTTTGGATCTTTCCTGAAATTCGTGTCACCTCCTCACCTCCCAACCCAAACCCAGCCCCATTTTTGTCAGGGACATTCAATCTCAGCTACCCAGAAATCATGCCCCTTGAGACAATGCCACTGCTGCTTCAGGGAGTCCCTGTATCTCTCACCCCCACCCTCCTCAAGCACAAGCCTGTATGATTGGTGCATGAGTAGACCAACCTCCCCCCACCAAAACAAAAACAAAAACAAAACAAAACAAAAAAAACCTCAGCTCTGAAATGCTCTGGGCTGTTGCTTTCCCAGGATCTACTGTCAGGTCGATCCTTGAATAAGGAAGTGCTAACCCCAGATGGGGTCTTGTAGGTCTAGGCTCCAACCGTCTCAATGCTTTCTGCTCTCTCCTCAGTTTAATCTCTGAGAAGTAAAGATAAGTGTCGTGTAAGAGTTCCTCTGTGTTCAGGTGTGGCTTATCCTGGGGACATGGGTCTTTTGATCTTCCTCAATGCCTGTGGGCTTCTGGTTCAAGGGGGCCTAGGGGCCGGTGCTAAGCCTGTGTCCTTTTCTTTGCCCTCCTCCCTTTGCCCCTTTCTCCTCTTTTCCTTAGGATTCTCACCCAGGTGAAGCCCCAGGATACACACGCAGGGCTGTTTATGTGCCGTTAGTGGTCAGGGGGCCTTTTAGCTTCCTTGATCCCTTACATGGAGTCGTGGCCCTCTCTTGGTCTTACTAAAGAGAACAGCATCAGATTAGATCTTTGCAGACAGTGCTGCTGTTAGGTCAGGAGCTCTTCAGATACGACCTACTCCACACTCATTATTTAGCAGGAAATGAACAAACAGAAGGGAGAGCAAGCCCCAAGGCCCAGTGATAGACTGAAGAGCAGATCCTGGAGCTAGCTGGAATGCTATGCTCCTGTCCCTCTACCCTGTCACCCCATGCCATTAATTTGGTGCTTGTTTGCAGTGCTGGCCATCAAAGCCAAAGCCCTGTGCATGCTACCATTCAGCTGTTTTCCTGGTTCTTGTTTGAAAGACAGGGTCTTGCTCTGTAGCCCAGGCCAGCTGCTTCCTGAGTGCTGAGATTACAGGCTTGCTCCACCACACCAGGCTATTCAAGACAGGACCTCTATGTGTAACAGAGCTTGGAACTCTGTAAACCATACTGACCTTGAACTCACAGATCCATCTGCCTCTGCCTCCCAAATGCTGGGACTAAAGGTGTGCATCACCACATCAGGCTATTGAACTTTTATTAGAAAAGTGGTCCCTCTGAACCTGCATGGTCTCTGCCTGGATTTAACCAACCAATTGCAATCTCTACTGAATATACACAGAATTTTGTTTTTTCTCTCACCGGTGTTACTTATATAACACAGTGGCAACTGTTCATTGAGCATTGACATTTATTGGTGTATTGGAGATGATTTATACTGTGTGGGAAGAGATGCCTAAGTTATATGCAACTTCTGTGCCCTTTTGTATAACGGACAGATGCAGTTTGGTATCTATAGAGGGGCCAATGCCCTTTACCCTGTCCTGCAGGACACTGAGGAATAATTGTGTGTGCTTTGAAGGCCCCTGGGCAGTTACTACTTACAAATTAAATGTGTAGACAAGGCTACCTCATTTTCTTGGTCAGCTGTGGCCATTGGCTGATTAGTTGTCAGCTGGAAAAAAACAGAGCGAGGAGAGATGGGCTACATTTTTTGCTCATTTGCTTTTGTTTTTCTGAGATAAGTTTTCTCTCTGTAGCCCTGGCTGTCCTGGAACTCACTCTGTAGACCAGGCTGGCCTTGAACTCAGAGATTGCCTGCCTGTGCTTCCCAGGTGCTAGGATTAAAGGCGTGTGCCACTATGCCCAGCTTGGGTTACTTTGTGCGTTTCCTTTTGAAAAGTCCTAGCTCAAAGAAACAACAAATACAGGACTATTTTGTGGGACTATGTTGATAGGCAGTGTTCCCAAGGAGCTTCAGGCTTGCCCATGGAGCCGAGGAGATGAGCAAGTTATCTGTGCTGATATTTCTCCAGATTGTCCATGTTCTGGCCCTGAGGACTGTTAGGGGCCAGTGCAGAAACTGAAAATGCTGACAGTTATGTTCATCACACCCATGAGGGCCGAAGAACCATTTTCTATTATGGATGGCATTCCTTCTGCAGGTTCTGTAGTAGCCATTCCTGGTGTGCTTACCCCATTGCCACAGAGGTCACTCGGAACAACTGCCTGCCTGGATTATTTTACACTTTTCCAATCCGCTCCTTGAGTTCCAATCTGACTGTACACATGTTCTTCACATTTTCAAATGTTTGCTACACCACAGCCTTGGAGACCTATTTAGTTTAGTGGAAATGATGTATAGGACCTGGATTAAGCTAGAACTTGTTCTGCTAACTACTGGGGCCGTCCTTGGAAGGGCCGATTAACTCTGACAATCTCTCTCGTTTCTTACCCACACCACGGAGAGACTAACCAGTTCCCTTGCAGGGGGCAGTAAATGAAAGCACCAGCGTGGACATACCTATAGTCTACCAGACAGCTGAGGTGGTGAGGGTTGCCAGGCTTTGGGATCAGCCCTCCGCTCCCGAAGCTAGGCTTCTAGTGGCAAGTTAATTCACGTCCTAGAATTCAGTCTCACCCGGACCGCAGAGTGATTATGCTAGCTGTGCTGGGTGGTCAGGCGCGTCACCTGTGAGCCAGGTAGGCACCCGGTAGACTTGACTCACCGGAAGCCCATGCATTGTGACCACACGGCTGCTGTGCCACCTGTGCTGGCCTGGTTAGGGTTTCCGCTGGGGGAGGAAAGGGTTCCCTTTTTCTTAGTGCTTGTGGTCTCTCATCCAGGGAAGTCAGGACACAGGAGCTCCACGTAGGAACCTGAAGGCAGAGGCCATGCAGGCGTGCTATTCACTGGCTTGCTCAGCTTGCCCTTGCACAGCACCCAGGACCACCAGTCCACAGGCCCACAGTGCTGGGCCCCCCCACATCAGTCACCCAATCAAGAAACTGTACCACAGGTTTGCCCAAGGGTCAGTCCGGCAGGGACATTTTCTCAGTTGAAGTTCCTTCTTCCCAGATGACTACCCTAGTTGACATGAAACTAGGTAGAATGTATCATGCACTGATTGAGGCTTTTAGGCAATAAATTATTAGTGAATTCTAAAGGCTCACGGAAGAATTTAATCAATATTTTCCCTTTCAGATTATGGGAAGAGAAAGGTAAAAGGATGTGGGGCGAAGCAGACAGCATGGTGGGTAGAGGGTGTCTGGTCACTCGTATCTTGGCATGGGGACTATTTGGAAGGTAAATTTTTCTCACTTTGTGCTCAGTTTGTCAGGTGGGTGATTACTGCCATTGACTTAGTACTCTTTACCTGCTGTGCTTTCTGCTAGTATGTACTGTAAAGCTGCAGAGACCATAACATTAGTAAAAGTGTTCTTAGGAGAAGCTTTGGGTCTGCACCTCTAAATATCATTTGAAGCCAGATGTAGTGGTTCACATCTTTGATCCCAGCGCCCAGGAGGCAGAGGCAGGCGGGTCTCTTGTTAGTTCTAGGCTGGCCTGGTCTACAGAGCAAGTTCCAGGCCAGCCAGGGCCTTGTAAGGAGACCCTGCCTCAAAGGTAAACATGTAAATAAACGAACAGTTCTTTGAAATGCCCAAAACAGGTACTCTGTGCAGAAGGAAAATTCAGCAAAGGCAGATGTGCAGAATAATATTTAACGAAGTACTGTTTTTAGTTGCTGGTAGATTTCATTTCACTTCCCCTGGGAAGACTAGTGTGAGGAATGAGAGGAACACTTGGGGATGAGCCTGCTATGCTTCAAAATAAAATAGAGTAATGTGTGTGTCAAGGAGAGCTGTGCCTGGCGGCTGTCTGTGGAATGCAGATGAATCCCAGTTTATCTGCATCCTCGAACCTCCCCCCACGGTTGTTCATGCATGACCTTGATTTGTTTTTCTTCTAGGATGTGGAGAAAGAGAAGGAAACGCACAATTACCTCAGCAAAGAGGAAATCAAAGAGAAAGTTCATAAGTACAACTCAGCCGTCACAGACAAGCTGAAGATGACCTTAGTGAGTACACGCCTTCCTGGTTCATTTGGCTCTCACAAAGAGAAAGACAGGGTCAGAGAGATGGCTGGGGTTGGGGATGGGGGTAGGGATGGGTGAGCGTGTAAAAGTACAAGCCAGCAGGTTTGATTCCCCAACACTCACGAAAAGGCCAGAACGGGTGGTTCACATCTGTAATGCCAACACCGCTGCTGAGACATGGAGGATCGCCAAGAGCTTTCGGGCCTTGAAGCGAGGACTGTCCATAGGAGCAGCAGCAGCAGCTTGACCAGGCAGGAGGCGAGAGTTCTCTCACCTTCTTGAGCATGCTGTGTGCTGCTGTATATTTAAGAGTTCAGCGGAAGTGGCCATCTGGTGTGTGTCTTTATTGCTGCTGGGAATAAAACCAGCCTATTTTCTCAGTGTCAACTCATTGCTGACCTGGTGGTTGGAGAGCCCTCACCGGGACCACTCTTTCTGTGGAAGGCTGGGATGTTGAGCCCTGAGCTGAGATACAGCTGCAGGCTTCAAAGCAGCGCTGGTTTGGCCAGCATGTGGTGCACAGGACTGCGTTCTCTCCAGTTAGTGCTGAGCCAGCGCAGGCAGCGATGGAGGCCTAAAGCTCGCCGCCGGCCTGCTCCAGGACTGGCATGTGTCCCTGGCAACGCTTTCCTCCGCTGCATCCACCCTGCAGATCTTATACTAACCCCCCCCCCTTCCCGGCTAACTCCTCTCTGCGCTCTGTGAAATTATGTTAGAGACCGTCCGCCCTAGGCTCACTCCTTTCCCTGTCCTGCCAGCTAAACCTGTTCACCATGACCTTTCCCCACCTTGCAGAATTCAAATGGGATTTACACTGGCTTCATCAAGGTGCAGATGGAACTCTGCAAACCCACACAGACCCCTCCCAACCCTGGGAGAGTCCCACCCAGTAGCAGCGGCTGCATGAACACCCTGCACATTAGCAGCACGAACACCGTGGGAGAAGTGATCGAGGCCCTGCTCAGGAAGTTCCTGGTGACCGAGAGCCCCACCAAGTTTGCACTCTATAAGCGTTGTCACAGGGAAGACCAAGGTATGCTGCCGCACTTAAAAGGAAAACAGTCGCTATCTTTTACTTATTAGCAGAAGGGCAGCTGATGGATGCCATGTCAAACCATGTCGGAGCCTAGGGATGGATAGTGGAAGCCATGTTGTCATGGCTGATCTTTTTGATGACTGGCTGGTTGAATGTTTGAGTTGCAGGGCAGCAGGTCTGGGAACTTCTTAGGCATCTGCACATAGTGGGCACATGTGGAAAGTCTGCTGGTGTGCATAGAGGGAGAGGGACAGGCTTGCTGAGGGCGCGCTGGCAGTGATTCTAATGCCTTTTAGGACATGAGTTGCTCAGCTGAAGTTTTCAGTAGTGCTTTCACATTTGAAGTCATGTGCATACACTGTGGCATGACAGGCCAAGAGGCACATGTACAACTCATGTATAAAAAAGCATGAGTGGTGTCCTTACCTGGGGTCTATGTGGACTTATTATGCCCGTGCCCAGGGCATAGAAGGAACATCAGATTACCTCATGCAGTGTGCTGCGATGTCCTGGGTGAGGTGTTTGAATGGAACTTGGGGTCTGCGATCCACTCTCTGTGCCAACTGGAAAGTGGAATAAATAGCAGTAAGCTACCTAAGTTTTTCTCCAGTTTTTCTCCCGGAAAAGCCTAAAGCAGACAGAGAAGAAGATGTACTGATTGACGTGATGGCCATGTCCTTTAGCCACACAGGGTGACACACAGCTTTTGCTGAGTGTGTACATTGGTTAAACACAGGCCCTTCAGAGCAGAGACCGGCGAGTCTGAGCCCCAGGCCTCCCGAAGCCACAGGCTCAGCAGCTGCCACCAGGAAACTGCAATGCAGCTGCATATCAACTGCCAAGAGACACAGGGGAAGCCTGATGACATTTTTAGCTTGCCAGCAACTGTGCCAGCCCAGCTGGACGTCAGCTACACAATCTAAAGTAGCAGTGTCCTGCTGAACCGTCACCCTCAGGGCTGACAAATCTTGGGCACTGGGGTGTATCTGTAGAGATGCCTTGTGCCTGTTTGACAGGCGCCTGGTCTGCTGGGCTGCCAGTTCTTAACCTGCAAAGAAGTTTGCTCCTACGGCTTTGGGTTCCTGGTGTTGGTAGAGGTGTTTTTAAAGGGACAGAATCATCACAGGCCTATTTCATACGATTTCCTTTTCTTCATCAAGGGGCCTGTGGTGGTCATGTGAGCGGCTGGCGACCTCGAGGCTAGGGGAAAGTGGCCTGTCCCAGGGATGAGGGATGAGGTGGGGGGCTATCTCAGAATCTCTGGAGCCCCCCGTGACTCGCTATCTGTCTCCCTTCCAGTGTATGCCTGCAAGCTCTCCGACCGGGAGCACCCGCTCTACCTGCGTTTGGTGGCGGGGCCCAGAACCGACACACTTAGCTTTGTTCTCCGAGAGCACGAAATTGGCGAGGTGGGTGAGAAAATCGTTCGTGGCGGCGGCACTCTACACAGAACAGCCAGCCTGGGGGCCAGGGAAAGGGAGAGAGTTTGAATCTCCTCGAGTGAATGCCGAGTTAGCTTACAGCATAACTCTCTTAGAGCATTACAGTGCCCGTGCCTGCCCTTCAGCGGTCAGAGGAAATAACAAAGGTGTTCTGCTAAGGAAGGTCTCCAGGCCAGTTTCCTTCTAAAGGGAGAGAAACAAGATTCGGGCCCTGGAATCTCCTTCCCTCTTCATCCTCAGATGACTCTGAAGTTCTGTTCGCATAAGCCTTCTTTTCTCTCCGGGCAGGAAGTATTGGGTGTCCACTGGCAAACATTTCCATGCTGGAGAGATGGCTCAGTGGTTAAGAACACTGCCTGCTCTTCCGAAGAACCTGGGTTCAATTCCCAGCCCCCACACGGCAGCTCACAACTGTCTGTGACTCCAGTTCCGGGTCGTCTGACACCCTCACACCAGTGCACATGAAATTAAATAAGTTATTTCAAAAAGACAGACAGACACATTTCAGACTGCTCCTGTACAGCATCTGAGAGCTTTCAGTGATCCTTGAGCAAACTGCCCAGCTCAGCTTGTCAGACCTAGGAAGTGGGAATTGTCCTGTGGCTCAGTCCTGAGGCTGAGGGGATGGCCCGCCACTTACAAGTCAGGAGGCCTGGACTGTGGTTAGATGGGGACAGGGCATGGGGCATGCCTTCTGAGTATTCCACCTTCCACGCAGAAAGATCTGGAAAGTGCTGCTAAAATCATTGTTATCATCCTGCATGTGTGTGTGCCGGCGTGTGCACCACAGCACGCACACGGAGATAGAGGACACACAGCACGCACACGGAGATAGAGGACAGCTGGGTAGAACTGATTCCTTCCCAGGGGCTCCCAGGGGTAGAACTCAGGTCACCAGCACAGCAATTTCCTTGCTTTCCTTGCTTGGAAAAAAAAAAAAAAGGGAGGGGTTCATTTGTTTGTTTTTTAAATTACAATTTATCAGTTTGTGTGGATGTGTAGGCATGAACTTGTGGCCCACATGTGGAAGGCAGAGGACAACCTGCAGGAGTTGGCTCTCCTTCCACCGTATGAGTCCCAGGGCTCAAACTCAGGTCCGTGGGCTTGAGCATCTTGCCATCCTCTCTGTCTTTTGTGTGTATGTGTTTGTCTGTGTGTCTGTCTCAGTGTCTGAGTAGTGCCTGCTGTGGAGAGGGGTGCTGTTAGGGAACTAGAACTTGGCCTCTAGCACAGGAAACAAGCTTGGAGTTAGTGAGACTGCCCCAGCTGCTGTGCCTGGCAGGTGGAGGCTCGGGAGACACTAAGCAAGGACTTGTAGTTATTACAGTCTTGATCATGAGCAGGGCTTCAGAGTGGCTTGTGAAAGCTGTCGATAAACCTAGCCTCGGGAGGGAAAGGGGGAAAGGTCCTGGAAGTGTCCCATGAAGGTAGAGCTGAGATCTGAAGAAAGTGCGGGATTCGTAGGCACAGCCAAGCAGGGAGGCCATGCACTAAGCGGTGAAGCTAAGTGAGGGTTGACCTAGGAGCTGAGGCAGGAGGATCACAAGTTCAAGACTAGACTGTGCAGTGTAGCAAAACCTTGTCTAAGGGCGGGCGGGGAGAGAAAAGGGACCGGAAGTGATCCTGTCTGGACTCTGAGTTGACCTCGGCCACCTTCCCCTCTGTCCCCCACAGTGGGAGGCCTTCAGCCTACCGGAGCTGCAGAACTTCCTGCGCATCTTGGACAAGGAGGAAGATGAGCAGCTGCAGAGCCTGAAGCGGCGTTACTCAGCCTACAGGCAGAAGCTGGAGGAAGCACTGGGCGAGGTGTGGAAGCCCGGCTAAGGCGGAGGGGCGCTTCCTGCCAGGAAGGCACAGCTCGGGACTCAGGAAAGAGCGGCGCAGCCTCCCTCGGAGACCCACCATGCCGGGTCCTCCTCTCTCCTCTCTAGACACAGTTCTCAAAGCCTGCTCACGCAGCATCCTCCGGCGCACGGATCAGCACAGGCACCCTGCAAGCTCGTTCTGTTAGGGCTCGGCGATGTTACCTCTTGCAAGCTGTGAGCCTTCCCGGAGTGCTTGGGAGCATGAACTCCGGGTGGATCTCCCCTGTTCTCTTCTAGTTACTGTAATTGCGATTTTGTAAAGCTTTGGGATGTGCGGATGAGTTTTAAAGCTTTAACAAGCAATCTCTTAAGTGCTTGCCCTATGGTGAAACTTAGCTGCTTGTTTTTGTTCTCTGTTAGAGCAGTCTGTCCTTGTGAACTGAAAGAAACGGGATTTTAGGAACTCTGGGGGATTGGGGGAAGAGTGTGAAGAGTTTTGACAAGATAGTGAAGGGCATGTTGGGAAGGTAGAGGGAAGGCGAGAGCCCGGGGTTTTTGGGAAGGTAGCTAATGCGGCTTCTAAGGTAGTGCTAGAGGAGAAAGGTGTATTTGTTTATAAAGGAGTTAAGTGTTCAGGGTTGACGGTAAGCCCGTTTTAAGATGGCTTGATTTGCTAGTGGTAAAATGTGGGGTGAGAGCCAAAGGGCTAAGCCCAAAGGAGGGATCCACGAGCTGCAGCCGAGGTGGTCCTGAAGTAGGCCGAGGTGGTCCTGAAGTAGGCCTGCTTTTGCTGCGGCCTGACGTAACCTGTGCCTCCCTCCATCCCGAGACTCCGGAGTCGATGGTCGCGGGCGTAGCCTTCTGTGTGAGGGTGGGACCTGACCATTTGCTGGTTAATGTAGTCCCCCACCCCCACCCCCACCCCCACCCCCGAGGTTGGTCTCAGAGTTAAAAAGGAGTTTGGGTAAGGGCAGCTGTTTTTCCCCTCAGCTGTTAGCTAGAAGAGGTGTCAAGTCCAGGGCTCACAGCAAACTTTGTGACAATCACTCTTCCCTTTTAGTCCACCCTTCCTTGTCCCTGACCCCCTCCCCCTGGGGCCCCTTTCCCCCAGCCCCTCCCCAAAGTTGTTCTTATGAAGTAGAGGACAGGGATGTTTGTTAAAGGCCCAGTCCTACCACATCCTCGCCTCTAAGAGACTTGACTAAAGGCCCCAAGGAAGGAAGGTCCACACCCAGCTGACCGCGCCACAGGCGCAACTATTTTGACAGAAGTGCGCATGTTCCTTCCGACCAAAGACACGCATGTGCAATAGAAGCCTTCCTGAAGACAGGCACAATTGCCTGGTTTCCTGCAGCAGCCTGCAGATCCGAGAGCAGAGGGAACGGTGTGCTGTGCTTCTGGAGGGGCCTGGCAGTCGGGCTGTTTCTAGTTTAGATAGGTTTTGTTGTTTATAAATTCCCAAGGAATTGTTAACACGGCGACACCGATGGATTCTTTTGGAAATTCCAAGGTGCTCCCGCTCTTTGCCTTTCTATGAACCGTGCCTTCGATCGAGTGTCTTCCCCATTCGAGGTGGCCTCCTGACTCGTCACCGCGGGGGAGGCAGCTCCAGGTGTGGGTTATGCCACTCAAGCTCCCGAGACAATCGGATCTTCTAAGCTATTAGGAAGAGTTGGGGGGCGGGGTAGAGCGAGCTATAAAATATGTATGGCACATCTTGTTTAATTTTGCATGCAATTTCCTTTTAGTGCATCCATGAGGTTTAGCGACATTGTCATCCAACACGTTGCCTGTTGTTCAGGGAAGGCCTCTGGCTTTTGTGCTGTTTTTACTGTTCAGACTGTGGCTCGGGTTTGTGTACGCTGTCATCAGCCACCTGGTCTTCTAATTCCTCCTCCCAGTAAGCTCACCGTTTGTGAAGCGGTAGCTTCTCAGATTAAGACACTGTTAGAACCTGAAAGTAGTAGCTGATGGGTATCTGTGAAATTTTTCTTTTTTCTTTTTTACTTGAAGTAGATTGTATGAGGCAGGCGCCCTCCTCTGTACTCATCCAAACCTCGCTGGCGGTCATGCGCACTACACATTGTCACTCGCAAACTTTACTGTATTGAAGATCTACCGGTCCGTGGTTCCTCAAGACTCGTGCTGTCTCCCAAACACTGGTTACTACAGCAGCGTTTTTTAAAGCCTAGAAGAAGAAAAAGAGACCCAGAGGCCAAAGTTTTTTGTTCTTTAAACCGTTGTTCAAATCCTCCTGTAAAATGAAACGAGGCCTTGCTGTAAAACTGTTTTCTCTTCAAAATGTGATGGTACAGGAACGGTGTGAAATGAAGGGTGGAGTTGCAGGAGAGCATTTTAAATCTAGAAGTTAAAAGCTATATTTATAATGTTGATGAGTTTAAGTTTTATTTTTATAGGGAAGATTTTTTTTCTCCCCTGATATTATGTCTGGAATGGCAAAATTGTTTCTATTATTAAAAATTGAAGTTGTTAGTTGATATTTGTATGTCTTTACTTATGATAACATGCTATATGTGTGTGTGTTTGTGTGTAGCCACAATTTGAGAACAAGCCTTTTTTAGAGAAAAACATACCATAATTCAATAATATTTACAAGGGTTTTTTTTTTTCTCTCTCTCCTTTTTTGGGGAGGGGACACAATGTTTTTTTCCAAATGGTATTTTTATTTCTTGATTCTAGCTCCACGTCTGCCTGTCCTGAACATTAAAATTGTTTCCTTTTGAACTACATATGCATTGGGAAGTGTTGAGCCATGCAAACACCAAAGAGTATTTTGAAATCTTGTTCTTATGGCTGAGAGAGGCAGGTGATCTTTAGAAACCCCAGTCAACCCCTGCCATTTTTTTTTTTTCGAGACAAAGTTTCTCTGTGTAGCGTTGGCTGTCCTGAACTCGATTTTTTGACCAGGCTAGCCTTGAACTCACAGAGAGCTGCCTGCTTCTGCTTCCAGTGCCAGGATTAAAGGCCTGCTGCGCCACCACCCCAGCTTACCCCTGCATTCTTGTCCTGCCCCTTTTTGTTTGTTTGTTTGTTTGTTTGTTACCTGAAATAGGCAGCGTGCACAGCAGAAAGTGTTTTCAAGAAGTGGTTTTAGGTTCCTGCTCTGGTTTTGCAATAGGATGGAGAGGTTTGCTTGGGTTCGGTGGGGTGTGTTCTGTCTCCAAGGCTGCAGAAAGAGTTCTCTCCGCTATGCTGCCCTCTAGAGGCCGTGTGGAAACGAGGGCCAGGCCATGTGGAGAAACTGGCCCTGGGTAGTTAGTTAATTGATGATGATGATGATGATGATGATGATGATGATGATGATGATGATGATGACAATGACGACGACGACGATGCCAAGCTCTTTCTAAAGGTTCTGGGTAGCCACTTCAACATGATTCTTGACTCCTCACTCCCTCCCCAAGACAAATCATAGAAACGAGAATTTCTCTTCGCTAAGACAGGTCATGGAAGCACCCCTCCCCATCTCTTTGTGTCTTGGAGCTGGCCCTAAAGGAGTCACCTTGTGAGGTTGGAGAGATGGCTCAGCGGTAAGAGTGCTGACCGCTTTCTCGGCATATCTGAGCTCAGTTCCCAGCATCCACCACCATCTGCACATACCAGCTCCAGGGAGATCTCAGGCCTCTGGCCTCCATGGGCACCTGCACTCAGTAACACACCCAAACACAGACAGGTAATTAAGAACAAAAACCCAGTTAGAAAGAAAAGGAAGTGACCTTGGGTTGAGTTCCATCTCCCTGCACGATGTCAGAGTGGTATTGCTAATAAAATTAAAAACAGTTTGTGTGAAGTGCAGTGTAAGACTCCATTTCAACAGGGTCCCTGCCTCTTAGCTGGAAGAGACAGGCTGCACAAAGAGGAAAACCAGTCTGTAGAGAGGGGCCCTGCTGGTCTTCAACATGGCTGTCCAGGCTTCACAGCATGCTTCCGAAGTGAAGACTCCACAGGCTCCCCCCATTCACCCCATCCTCATCTAGAGAGCTTTCAGGTGGCTGGAGCTTCCTGGAGAATGGTGCATCTTACCTAGTAAATATCTTCGCCTGTGTCTTTTAAAATAAGCCAGCACACACAGGGTATTTTCCAGCCTTCTGTGAGTTGTTCTACTACAATGAGTCTGAGGAGGGCCCAAGGGAACCCCAGATCTATAGCCAGATAGCCTGGGACTTTATGTTAGTGTCTAGTGTGCAATGGGTTTTGGGGACCGGGCCCTCAGCTGTGGCTGGTGGGAGTTCTCACATCTTCCGGGCTCACCCCATGGATCAGTGTGGTAAGTGTGCAGGACACAAGAGGCACAAAATTCTGAGGGTTTTTGTTTTTCTCTTTGTTTTTTTAGCTCGTTTACACAAATGCTGCATTTGGATGCTGCCAGGTGGTCCTGGTGTGGTGTTTTACCGAAGGGAAGTCCCTGGGACAGCCCACATTAACAAAGTGCTAGCCATATAACAGGCCTTAATTTAGAAAGCTGACAGTACAGTAACACATCATTCCACAGTGAGCTGTGTGACCTGAGCATTCGCACAGGCTGTCATGACAGTGATTGGCAGGCCTGAGACAGTGCGGCTCCTCAGCCATCTTGTTCCCAAGCTCAAAGAGTGTCCAGCAAACTGCATTTTCAGAGAACAAACACTGTATTCCCTCTGGTGGGCAGATTGTCAAAATTGACTTCTGTTTGAGCAGATAGACCTTATCAGCCATTGACTGACTGACTGATTGATTGATTGATTGATTGGTGGTTTCATTCAGGGCAGCAGTTCTCAACCTATGGGTCATGACCCCTTTGGGCATCCAACACCCATTTCATAGAGGTCATATCAGATATCCTGTCTTATCAGATATTTATAGCAAAATTATGGTTAGGGAGTATGGAAGGAACCTGTCTTCGTTTTCATTGACGGTCTCTTGCCTGGGAGGGAGGACAGGGCAGGGTACCAATCCCTATGTTCCTCTTATACTTCCTGGAGCTACCAGAAAGAAAGGTTCAGGAGCAAGCCAGACACGCCACTCAGTCTTGCAGAGGATTGACCCCCTCAGCCACCATCACGGCAAGTGTCAAAGGAATCAAGTATTTAGAGTCTGCCTCCTCATTCCACTCTGGTGTAAGCCACTGCTTGTTCAATTAGTTGTTCAAGAAAGAACCTTGGCTTAAAGAGTTAACGAGGTGGGGAGGAAGGCCAGGTGAAAGCCTGATGGGGCAGAGCAGCCAGAACCACTTCCAGGTGAGCATATCTGTCAGTGGGGCTGGGTTTAGGCTTCCGTTTGGCTTCCGGTCTGGTTTCATCTCACTTTGCTTTGCTTTTTGACAAATCACTTCTAGCTGGTCCTAGAGGGACACGGTCGAGGACCAGCTTGTGATTTAACACACCGGTTCCCGAGAGACACTTCAGTGAAGTCTTCCAATCAGGTGCTTTTTGTTGTTTTTCAGAGACAGGGTTTCTCTGTGTAGCCGTGGCTGTTCTGGAGCTAGCTCACTCTGTAGACCAGGCTGGCCTTGAACTTACAGAGCTCTGCCTCCCAGCTCTGGGACCAAAGGCTTGTGCCGCCACCTCCTGGCTTCCAGGTGTGGCCTGTTAGAAGGCAGGCCTCTTTTGCACCGGACTCTGCCATCTTAACAAGCCCTCAGCCTCGAGTGCGCGTGTGCACACATATGTTGGCCCTGCGTGCCCTCTCAGGAGCTCTCCCCATTTCTGAGGAAGGTGAGTTGGTGCTTGAAATGCTTACACACAGCAGCAGCACAGCAGGACTCTAAACTTCAAGGAATTCCGCTTTGTCTTGTGGGTAACTTTTTTTAGCCAGTCAGGCTTTTGGTTTTCTGTTCATTTATACATTTGTCGTGTGTTGGGAGGTGACACGGGGCTCCCACAGCACAACTTGTGGGAATCAATTATTTTCTTCTACCATGTGGATCTGGGGGCTCCAACTCGGGTCGTTGGGCATGGTGGCAAGTGCTTTAACCTTCTGAGCTTTCTTGTAGGCCCTTAAATCTTCTAAAGGCCGTGACCCCTATCTTATAATATACTTGTATCCTGTGATACCTTTATTGTTATGTTTTGTTTGGTCTTTTGAGACAAAGTTTCTCTACTGCTGCCCCTTGCTATCCTGGAACTCACTCTGTAGACCAGGCTGGCCTCAGACTCACGAGATCCACCCACCTCTGCCTTCAAATGCTGGGATTAAAGGTGTGGAGCCCCAGCCGGTACGTGTATTCTTATCACCTTGCATTTTCACTCTTTCATTTATATTAGTAAGTTCTGCCCTTGACTTGAAAATAAACTCCAGGTCTTTCAATTTTATTAACTAGACTTTCTTCCTCCTCCTCCTCCTCCTCCTCCTCCTCCTCCTCCTCCTCCTCCTCCTACTCCTCCTCCTCCTCCTCCTCCTCCTCTTCCTCCTCCTCCTCCTCCTCCTCCTCCTCCTCCTCCTCCTCCTGTTCTTCTTCTTCTTCTTCTTCTTCATCCTCTTCTTCTTCTAGACAGGGTCTCACTTTGTAGCCCAAACTGGCTTAGAACTTACTGTGAGGCCATGCTAGTCTCCAGGTTGGGGCAAGCCTCCTGTCTCAGCCTCCCAATACTGAGATTCCAAGGGGAGTCACCACCCCTGCCGTCACCAGGCATTAGGAAGCCCAGCAGTTAGAAACTGAATGGATTTCACAGTGGGAGAGCATTTTGGCCTCCACCCACCCCTTCTCCAGAACAAGGATCTATGTATACTCTCAACAGCCAAGTGTGGTGGAAATGGTCCCAGGTGCTTTGAGAGACATCAGAGGAGGCAAGAGAAGTGACTTAGAGCTGAGGTCCTGAGGGGGAGGGGTACTGGCAGGATTCAGAACGTGAGGGAGTCTGTAAGACTGTGAGCCACTTCTGAGCTACTTTTGGTGGTGGCATGTGCTTATTAGGGTCTTTCTGGAGGTTTCAATTTCTACTGTCCTGAGAAAAGACCACAGGACATCCTTGGCATGGGGGGCATTTAACGTTTGTAGCAACAGTTGGCTCCGAGTCACACTCAGTTTTCGGTTTGCTGTCTGTCTGCAAAATGGTTTTCTGTGAAATGGTTAGTTCGGTGAAATCGTTAGTTCTGAGGGGGCTGACTTGATTGACAGCTTGCCTGGAGTGGTCAAAATCCCAGGGTCCATTCCCAGCATCGAATGTGTGGCGGTCGATGCCTGTAACCCTGGCACTGGAGAGGTGGAGGCAGGGGGATGAGAAGTTGAAGGTCATCCTCGGCTGCACAGTGAGCTCAAGGCATCCTGGGTTAAATGAGACCCTGCAAGGATGAAAAAAAAAAAAAAATGGAAGGGCGGGGGTTGTTGGCTTTGCCACATGGCTGCTGTGAGGATGAAATAAGTGTGAGTGTGAAGGTACTCGAACATTGCCCATCTCAGAGTATCGAGTACCCTCGGACGCTCTCTTCTCCACCCTCGGTTGACACTAAGGCTCGTGTAGAAGCATCCCTAGCTGCCAGTCTCCAGAAGGAACCCTTT